TATCTATCTATCTGAACATATCCACAACTATCCACCTATCCATCCATATATTGAGCTATCTACCTATCTATCTAACCATATATTCATCTATCCATCTATCTACTCATATAGTCGTCTATCCATCTTTTTGCCTACCCATGTACCGATCTACCTATGTATCGATCTACACAGCTATCTCCCTGCTAAATATATAGTTAGGTAAATCCCAGTGATAATATCACTGAGATATGACATGTATTGTCTGCGTCATATACTTTTATGAGCTGATTAAGTTTGATGAATTTACATTTTATCATTCTTTTAAAACGAAAGAAATTGTGTTGTGATCGATGACAGAGTTGTAATTGAACTGATCGGTTCTTGTTAATTTGATGGATAGACGAGGAAACTACAACGTTGAAGCGAACCAAGATTTCATCAAAAAATTAAACTGAAAGAAAATTATTCTCAATACGTATTGTAAAAAACATAATTTAATTTCTATGAATAGTTTAGTTTATATCACAAGGTAGTATATAAATACTTTAGTCTTTTTTATTTAGTATCGTAAGTATTTGGTCGACTTCTTTTAATATTCACTTATAAATATGTGCTATCAGATGATGATTCAATGGAATATTCTTCTCTATTAGAAAAAATATTCTTTTATCGTTCATAACAAACGGGATGTGGTTGTCGCTTTCTTAAGGAGGTTCTCTTAAGACTGTTTTCTGTATCAGCAAATTCGCAGAAAAATCCCTTGGTGATAAATATCCAGTACTTCTCATTAGTTTTCACTACTAGTGCGCCTGAGGAGAGTAGATGTGACTATGGCTATGGGTATAGATACTGATGTGATTCTTCATACCCACACTCACATCCTTACACTCTCAGGCTACTCTTCTCGGGAAAGTACTACTTATATACAAATTTATTATAAATCGATAAGTATTCACATTCTTGTCTTTATTAAAAGAAATGAAATTCTATTATTGAACTACTTTGAAAAGTTGTAACTGTTAAATCAATTAATTTGAGCAAAAATAAACATCTTATGTATTTCATATTTTCTGATAAGAAATTGATCCTATTCTATTTAAAAAAAATATCCATTGTTCTAATATAATATTACTAAATTTAAATTTTTCCTTGTAATAAATTTCTAATCATTTCACGTCCAGAAATACGAATTGTATGATAAAATGTCTTAAAATCCAAAGTCGATGTTAATGTATCAGCTAAACCAAATGGCATCATTGGTGGTATCCATCCACGTGCATATTCAAGTGCCCAACATCCTTTATGCATTTTAAATTGTTTCGAAGTACCTTTTGGTAAATAATGAACACTACCAGCTTGATAGATTTCTTTATCTAATGAACCAGCTGAGAATGCCCATTGTTCACCATATAATATATGAAAATAATCATCAGCTGTATGTAAACCAGTATGACCTTCTGTACCAAGAGGTGTTCCAAATATAATTAAATATTCTGTAAATGATGCATGTATAATAAACATAGCACCCATTGCACCTCCAGCATTATTAAATATCCATTCTTCTTCATTTGTTAAATATCGTGTATCAATAGTTTTTCGTAATTCAGCTACAATATAGTCAATAACAGGTCGTGTTGTATTAGCATTTTCTTGAGGTATTGGTATTAATTTACCATCAATATTTTTCAAATGACCATTAGCAATAAGTGCACGTTGAGCAAGTGTATGAAGTTGTTCAGGATCGAATATATAGAAACGAGTTTTTATCGAATCAAGATAGCCAATAATAGCAGATAAACAAACAACGAAGAGACTTAGAATTAATAATCGTTGTTTCGACATAATAATTAGGAAATATATCTAAAAAAAGTCGAATATATATATATGAAGAGTTAACCAATAATAAGTTGAGTTAAAAGGTGGTATGATTATGCGCGTCATTTTATCTCTCACTCGTCACATGTCATCGTTCTCTTTCTTCTATTAATGATACGTTATTTTGATACCTTGTCTTACTCTTTATCACGTATTTATTTAATAAAAGGAAATTCAAAGATCAAATTACTATTTGAAATACTAAATTTTCAAAGTAGATTTAGATATTCAAAACAAGATTATGGTTATTATAGACTTATATTTTGTAGAATACATTTTATTAGTTTAATCTTTGCGCCCTCTATTTTCTGTTCATTCATAAATAGACTATAGGTACACTACGGAAAAGTTAAAATTTGGATTTATCTGTTCCTTTCTTTATTCTTACAGTATTTTGTATTAAATATCGCTATGAGAAATGAATATCAGTACTGTATATTTTAGAATATTTATATAATCAATGGATGATTTTGATCTTGATCTTGTCGATGAACTTTGTTCATCATTTTGTACACCATATTCAAGTCAAAATATTAAAACTGCAGATGGATCTTCGACAAGATCAAATCGTAAACGTACATCAACAATCGATCCACCGGAAAATTCAATAATAAAAAAAGTGTGTTTAACTGATGTAACTAATAAATCAATGATTGATGAATATGATGAAATTAATATGCTGGATGAATCAGCTCTTCAAATGCTTGTAAGATGATAAAACGAAAATAGACTTTCTGTTTTTCTATTTATAATTATTTTAGTGTGAAGAATGGGAACCACGATCACAATTTCCAACTTTACTTGATCGAGTTGCTGATCTTCTTGAAAAATATCGAAATATTCGTGCATTACATAGTAAAAAAAATCCATTTTTTTTTTGATAAATCATTGTTTTATTGTAGATTGGCAAAAGAAATGTCTTGATTTACCAGCTCGTCGAAAAAATCAAAATCTTATCTATACACTTCCAACCAGTGGTGGCAAAGTTTGTCCGAATAATTTATTTTTATTCTCTTACAATACATATATATATTCTTTTTTTATCTAGACTTTAGTTGCTGAAATTATGATGCTTAATTGTTTATTTCATCGAAATCTTGATGCTATTTTTATTTTACCATTTGTTGCCGTTGTTCAAGAAAAAGTATAATTCTTTCCTATCATTATATATTCAATATATTTTGTCTTATCCTAGGTACGAAGTCTACAACCATTTGCTGATGAACTTGGTAAATAAAACGAATACATATTTCTCAACATATATTATATTTCTAATAGGTTTTCATTTGGAAGAATATGCATCAAGTAAAGGACGATATCCACCATTAAAACGTCGTATAAAACGATCACTTTATGTGTGCACAATTGAAAAAGCGAATTCATTAATTAATAGTTTAATTGAAAAAAATCGTATGAGTGAATTAGGCATTGTAGTTGTTGATGAGGTATAATCTTTTAATATTACTTTCATATTCATTTTTGTATTTATTTTCATAGTTACATATGATTGGTGAAGGGCAACGAGGAGCTACACTCGAATGTCTTCTTACTAAAGTACGAATGCATAAACGTAAGTTATAAATAAGATTATTTGCAGATCTTATTTTCTTTCTATTTATTTAGCTCAACCACAAATTGTTGGCATGTCTGCTACATTAGCTAATATTGGTGATCTACTTAAATTTCTAGATGCACAATTTTATGAAGAACGTTTTCGACCAGTAAATACTAATAATCAGTCTATTTTTCGAATTTTGTATTATAAAATCTAGGTTGAACTTGAAGAATACGTTAAAATAAATGATTTTGTATATAAAATCGACCGAAATAGTAATCAATTAATTGAACATAGACAACTAGATTTTAAAGTATGTTATAGAAATGATTTTATTTTTCAAAGATAATGTTTATATTCATATTTAAGTATACAAAACAACAATTATTAAATGATCCTGATCGAATTGTTGGTTTAGGTATGATATATACAAAATTCTTTGTTTGTTATTTCATTGAAATTATTATATATGTTTCAGTTTCTGAAGTTATTCCTACTGATTCATGTCTAGTTTTTTGCGCATCAAAATTAAATTGTGAAAATGTCGCTCGTTTAATTGTTAGTTTTATGCCTGAGTAAGTTTTACTATCGCGATAAAATTTCGTCATTTGTTTTCTAAATATCAATTATAGAAAATTACTTGAAGATAATCGTGAAAAACGTTCTATTTTGCTTGAATCATTAGTTGAAGTTAATGAAGGTGATCTATGTGATACATTAAAAACAACAATCCCATTTGGTGTTGCCTATCATCATAGTGGTTTAACAGGCGATGGTAAATATAAGTTAATCTTATGATTTGATCACAAATTAAATCTTCGTTGTATTATTTTAGAACGTCAATTAATTGAAGAAGCATTTCTTGATGGTATTTTAACATGTTTAGCATGTACATCAACTCTTTCAACTGGTGTTAATCTACCTGCAAAACGGTAGTTATGTTTTTTCAAATAATTTATCTATTTTCATACCCTAAATCTTTTAGAGTTATTCTTCGATCACCTTATGTTGCTAATCAATTTTTAACTTTTGCACAATATAAACAAATGAGTGGTATAGAAAAAAAAGAAATATATTTATATAAGTCAAATATAATGATCTAATTGACATTAATAGGTCGTGCTGGTCGAACAGGTCAATCTCAAATTGGTGAATGTTATGTTATAGCTCATGAAAGAGATATGAAACCAGTAAATCTTTTCTTTTTTTTTGTATATTCTTAAAACTTTGTTTTTTTAGCTTCAAGATATGTTATTTACTATAGCTGAAAATGATACTGGTTGTGATAGTCATTTATCTTTAAATAATAATTATGCAATTAAACAACTTTTATTAAGTGCAATTAGTTTAAAAGTAATCATGATGAATTTGTTTTATGAAATTATAGGATGAATAATTTAGATGTGTACAACTTATGAATCATTAATGAATTTATTACAAAAAACTCTTCTTGCTTTACAAGCTGATCGTCTTAATGTTAATCTTGAAAATCTTCTTGATGAAAGTTTACAATATCTTATAGATACAAATATTATTCTTATTAAAGAAGAAGAAGAACAACAACAAAGTAATGAGAGTGATAATGAAAAAGTAAAAAGACTCATTTATGAAACAACAAAATTAGGCAAAGCAACTGTTGAAGGTTAATATTAAAATATTTCACTTATTTTCTTACTTTTGCTTTTCTCTTATATAGGTAGTGTTGAATTAAGTATCGCTACTTCACTTCATAATCATTTAACATTAAGTTTAATTAACATGAATTTGGAAAATCCATTACATTTACTTTATATTACAATGCCATTTGATTTACCTAATATAACTATTGGATTTCGTCAACTTGTTGATCGAGTAAGTAAAAGATATATGGATTGATTTTTGTTGAATTATATCAATAACAGATAGCGATCTACCAAGGTTCTTGGTAGATAGAGCCCATCGAGTCCACGTTTTTTTGGACCCGAACCCGATTTCGATGAGCACTAGTCTGAACTCGAACTGTACCTATAGAAAATTTTTTAATCTTAACTATCCAAGAACCAAAACTGAGGAGCAAAAAAAAAGGTCTTTGATTTAGTTTTTTGAAGACCTATCAACTAGTTTTCAAATCCAAAATAGAATTCTCATGTTCATCGAGTAGTATAAAAATATTATGTTGATAATATATTTCTTTTTATCCGGACCCGATGGGCTCTAATCAAGATCGATCAGATTTAGTTACTTTATAAGAGGATATAGTAGAATAGCTGAGCCTCTACCGTTATTTTTCGGGTGCTCACACTTTTCCTTTCGAAAAAGTTATTGTTTCTTTTGTCAATTTTCATTTAGATGCAAGAAATGAAAAATGAAGAAAAACTTGTACTTAAATTATTAGAAATTGATGAAACTTTCTTGCATAAAAAAGCTGTTGGTTTACCAGCACAACAAGTAATGATACACTATAAAATTTTCTTTATAAATAATTCTTTCGTAAAATAGAAAGTAAGCAAAGAGACCATGCTACGTTTTTATGTTGCTATGATGTTATATGATTTATTTAAAAATAAAAGTTTTTATGATGTTGCTAAATTTTGGGATCAATCTCGTGGTACTATTCAAAGTCTTTATTCTCAAGTTGCTTCATTTGCTACATCAATACTTTATTTTAGTAAAGTATGGCTGAACAAAAAAACAATTTTTCATTAAGTTTCTTTCTTTTTTATGTGTATGTTTATCTATAGATTTATGATGAATTTTGGCCTTATCATCAATTATGTAAAAATATTCTGTAATAATTTTTTTTTCAATATTTATTTTCATTTATTTTAAGTACCAATCTTTGTTCAACGATTAACATTCTGTACATCATTGGAAATTCTTCCACTTATGGAAATTCCAGGAATAAAACGAGTAAAATATGTTTTTTTGAAGTATTGAATTAATTAATAAATCATAATAGGGTCGTGCTTTGCAATTAGTTCGAGCAGGTTATCGTACATTACGAAGTTTAGCAAAAGCTCAACCTGATGAACTTATGAAAGTTGTACTTAATTTACCATTACGAACAGCACAAATTCTTGTTAAACATTCAAAAGTAATTGAATATATATTTGATTAATTTATTTCTTTTTCTTCTTTTCATAGCGTCTTCTTTGTGAACAAGCTGAAGATTTAAGAGATCAAGCAGCTGAATTAGTCGAAAATATTATATAAGAAAAATACTTATTATTATTATTATTCTCTTTGTATTATACGTTTTTCTAATTGTAATTTTATGATAATTGAATATTATTTAGTTCATTTTCCTTGTGTTTAACACATTAGATAATTATGAAAACTTATATGTGAAATAAATGATGAATTGAAATGAAAAATTATAATGATTATTACGATGAGGAAAGAACACGAACGATCTGTAGTTACTAGAGAACAAGAATTAGATTGAGTTTTCACTAACTCCCAAGGGGGAACAAACTGATTTCCTGATCTCTAATTTCATTTTCGTGGTTTCCTTTGATTTCCTATGATTTCTAGTATGGAAATCAATTGGGGATATGTGTGGGTGTACGTGTGGGTGTGATCAGGTGGGTGTCCGTGTCCCTGTAGATACTGTATTCACCTGACACCCACACCTATCCACACTTACACCCACATCCACACTCTTTTGATTTCTCGTGATTTCTACTTGATTTCTAGTATGGAAATCAGTTTGTTCCCCCTTGCTAATTCCTAAAAATAGAGAACATAACTCAAATATTTATATAAATATCATAGTATTAATTTTCACCATTAAAATACACGATAAAAGTATTTATAAACTAATAACTAATTCATTTAAGCATTAAGACATATATTTCTGATTTGAAAAAAAAAACAAAAACTTCATATATAATATATCTGTTAGTTATTTAATGTCCCATCTAATAAAATCACGTACAGCGCACACAAACACTTACATATATATATATGATAAGAACTTTCTTTTTTTTTACCAAACAACATGTGGAATTTTTCCAGTATTTTTTTGAGAACCACCTGGTAAAAATGGTACTTGCTGTTGTTGTTTAACAGAAAGTGAATTTCGTCGTTGTGTATTCATTTGATCATCAACTTCAGATTGTTCTTTATTTTTAAGCCATTTTTCATATGCATCTTGTGCACTAACAAATTTTGTTTCTTCATTTTCACGAAGTTTTTTTAATTGTTCTTCTCGAGTGAGTTTTTGTGTGTCCTGTTTCTTTTTAATATGTTGAGCTTTCTTAGCATTCCATTCCTCATAAGCTTTTGTAGCTTCGAGAATTTTCTTTTGTTTTTCTAAAAAGAAATATAATCGATAAAAAGAAAAATTCAATTTAACCAACGTACCTTCTTGTTGTTTTTCAATTTCAGTTTTCTTATTAATACTTTCATTTAGTTTTTCTTTGTCTGTATCTTGTTTTGCTGCTACCCAACCTTCAAAACCAACTTTAGCATCCTAGAATATACATTTATAAGTTATCAATGATAGGAATACGTCTTTTAAAAAAATGACATTAGTTTGTCAAGGTTGTTTAGCATATTCAAATAAAAGTGACACTTCATCTCATAACGGAAATGAATGTTTAATAGTATCTAGTTAATTTAAATAGAATATCAGATATAGATTTAAATGTTTATACATCTAGCCCCCCCTTGGTTTGCGAAAGCCCTAAAAATTGTAAATAAATGCTAACTTTTTTTTTCTGTTCTCTTTCTCGTTTTGCATTTTCTTCTTGTTCACGTTTTAATCGAATTTCTTCTTGTTTTTTCATTTTAATTTGTTCATCTTTCTCTTGTCTCCATCGTTCAAGATTTTGTAAATTTTGTTGAACTCGACGTTCAATTGCAGTTTTATTAACTTGTTTAACTTTTTCAGCTTCCCAAAGTTTTTGTGCTTCTAATTCTTGTTTTCTTTGTTCTTCTTTAGTTTTTAACCATTCAAGATAAACACCATCTTTTATTGATTGAGCGGAATCAGCTCGCATTTGAGTTGTATTAATTTCATCAAAATTTATTGAAAGATTTGTATTAACACGTGGTTTAACATGTTCATAACCTGATGATGAAAGACGTCGTTGACGTCCATTACTATTCTTACTATTGTCATTATTTGCTGATGATGTTCGTACACGAGCAGTTTGTGGTCTTTGTAATGTTTGTGATTTAAGTTCTCTTTCAAGAGCACGTTGAGTCGATGCTGTTAAATCAATTGAAGAATTTGGATTACGACCATTATCTACACGTGAAGTAATTTCTTTATAACGATTAGGAACTTTGAATTGTTGTTTTTTATTAATACCACCACTTGTTGTTGAATTTAAATTTGGTTTAGGTCGAGGTGGTAATTGTGCAGAAGGACGAGGAGGTGGTAGAGGTGGTTGAAGTGTAGCAGCAAGTGCTTCATTATTTGATGTTAAAGGATCAAGTGTAGGTGGAATATTAGCTGAAGCAATATTATCAATAGCTGATTGAGTTTGATGACGTGATGTATTTGATTTAGCTGATGATGGTCGTGATTGCGATTGTTGATGTGTTACTGGAGGAATAACAACATCTTGTTCTTCACAATATGATGAACGACGAATTGGTTCAACTTCTTTTTTACTTGCTGAACTAGGTCGACTTGATGATAATTGATGTTGATTTGTATTTAAATCAGTATCTTTAGGTGATGTCTACAATAAAAATTTAGTCTAATTAATATATATCGGCTAAAACGCGTAACGCGTCAACTCGGGGGACCAGACTTTAAAACTTTCGATCTAAATATCATGACTATAGTCTTCTATA